CAGTCTGAACTACATAGTGAGACCCTGTTTCAAAAAAAAAAAAAAAATCGGTATTAGTATAGGATGAGAGATAGGGATCTGGTTTCAGTCTTCTACATACAGATATCCAGTTTTGTCGGCACTGTTTGTTAAACAGGCTCCCTTTTCTCCAAAATGTGCTGTTGGTCTCTTTGTCAAGGATCAGGTGGCTGTAGGGGATGATTTGTTTCTGTGTCCCCCATTCTATTCCATTGCTCTGTGTGTCTATTTTTACCATGCTGTTTTTGTTGTGATGGCTCTGTAGTGGATTCTGAAATTGGGAACTGTAATAATCTCCAGGACTGTTCTTTTTGCTCAGGATTGCTTTGGCTATTCTAGATCTTTTGTGTTTCTGTATGAATTTTAGGATTTTTTTTTTTCTAGTTCTGTGAAGAATGCCATTGGTATCTTGCTGAGGATCCTGTTGAATTTATAGATCGTTTTTGCAAATATGGCCATTTTAACTATACTAATTCTGCAATTCCGTGAACATGGGCCACTTCCCCCCTTTAAAAGAAGCATATAGTACTTTAATGATAAATCGAGAGCATCTGCAAATTATTAGCATTGGAGAGATATAGTGTTCCCTAAGTATGCTGGGGCGGGGGGAGCAGTGAGAAGGACGGGGTCCTGCATCAGTGGATATCAGAACCTGCAGCTGCTCAAGGCCCTTAAGTAAACTGGCATCCTGGATTCCTCAAAACCTGAAACTAGAGGCTCCATTTGACCCAGCTGTTCCCCTTCTAGGAATCTCCTCTTAAGAATTAAAAGCATCATAGCACAATGATACATGCATACTCATGTTTATAGCAGCACAATTCATAATACTTATATCTTGAAAACAGCCCATATGCCTATCAACAAATAAATGGATAAAGAAAAGGTATTTATATACAGTGGAGTGTTACTCTGCCATAAAGAACAATAAACTTGAGTCATTTGTAGAAAAATGGGTTGTACCTCAAGAACATAATCTTAAGTGAAATAAATTGGACACACAGAAGAGCATGTTCAAATGGAAAGGGGAATAAGGGAGAAGAGAGGAGGAAGGGAAGGAAGGAAAAAAAAGAATAGAAGGAAAAAATGGAAAAAAGGTTTTTGTAAATGGGAAGGGGAAGAAGAGTTGAAGGGAGGGGAGGGGAATGGGAAAAAAAGAAGAATCAAGATATATTACGTACAGGTACAAATTCCCTGTGATGAATATGATCAATATGCATGATGAATACATAAAAATAAAAATATAAAGTTAAAAAAACTGGCAACCTGGATCAGTTTGTTTTAATTAAAAGCTAGTTATTTAGGATTAAAAATTAATTAAGTGGCATAGTATTTGCATAGAAGTGATCCACCTCCTTCCATACACTTAAAATCACCTGCAGATTACTGATAATACCTAATACAATGAGATTGTTGCATAGATAATTGTCACTCTGGATCATTTAGAGAATAATGCAATAGAAAAAGCCTGTATGTGTGCAGTACACATGCAATTTTTTTTCCAGATATTTTTTGATCTGCAATTGGTTAGCTCCCAGGACAGGGGACCCCCAAGCTGGGGGCGGGTGTCTGACCTTAAAGTTTTACACAATGCAAAAGTGAATCAGCAAACGCTGTGCTGATGGGAGCTAGAATTCCCAGGCTCTTCCTAAAGTCATCTGAAACCAGGCAGGTAGCCAGGCATGGTGGCCCACACCTGTAATACCAGCACTTGGGAGGCTGAGGCAGGAGGGTTGCAGCAAATTCAAGGCCAGCCTGGACTATATAGTGACATCAAGGCAAGCCTGAGCTACATAGGGAGACCCTGTCTCAAAAAAGAAAGAAAGAAAGAAAGAAAGAAAGAAAGAAAGAAAGAAAGAAAGAAAGAAAGAAAGAAAGAAAGAAAGAAAGAGGGCAGGTGACAGGGCTGGTTCTATGCAATTTAGCTCTGATCCAAGAAGCAACCACACCCAAGGGAGGGCCTCCTCTCTGCATGACAGAGGCCCTAGCACTGGCCAGAAAACCCTCCCATTAGCATCGGGCAGGTAGAAAGGACCAGCCGTTAAGAATGCCTTTAAGCCTCTCAGAGGAATAACAATGATAATAGACAATATTTACTGTTTGTTTACACGCATGTCTTCTCAATCCTCAGAGCTGGGTGGAGAGGCAGGAGGAGTCCGTGGTTCCCCTGCCTAGAAGGAGCAGCTGGGCTGGGCCCCAAACCAGGAGGAATGGGGTCCTATGCTAGGGGCCTCCGGGCTGGAAGGAGGAAGCTGGAATTCCCAGGCTCTCTGGGTGGCAGGCTGATCTGAGAAGCCCACAGTTGTCTCTCTCTCATTTCATTATTTCATTTCATTTCATTTCATTTCATTTCATTTGTGGCACTGGGGATTAAACCCAGGACCTTCACACTGAGCTATGTCCCCAGCTCAATTTTCCTCTTTATTTTGAGACAGGTTCTTACTAAGTTGCTCAGGCTGGGCTTGAACCCCTGCCTCTGTCTCCCAGAGTGCTGGGACTGCAGGGGTGCACCTCCAGGCCCAGGATCTTTCTTCACCGTGACTTCTCTGTCCACACTGCACCAGCAACCCTCCTGCCTAGACCCCAGGATTGTTCTCTGCCCATCCCCTTTCAGCTCCACCCCCAGGGCTTGAGGGCTCAGCCTTGCTGGGGTTCGGGTGGGGGCAGCCACAGCCTCCAAGACCTGAACTCCCCTCCCTGGTTGCACCCCACTGGTCCCTCGGGGAGCCCTGAATGTGCCCACCTGTGCCCCACTCGATGCCCATGCTCTGGCTGTTCCTTCCCCTAGAACATCCTCCCTTGCAAGGCCTCCCACCCAGGACCTTCACTCCGAGGCCCACCCTGGCCTCCTGCCTTCCTGTCTTGCTCTCTCTCTGTCATGTTAGCACCGTCCACCTGGCTGGATGTTTTCTGTCCCTTGTTAGCTGTCACCTCCTCTGTTATAATGACAGTAGTTCCTTCTCTCAGCTCTGTGCCTGGCACACAACAGGCACTCAAGTGTATTACTGGAATGCACGGCTTTTCAAGCTCTTTGGCCCCAGCCTGACCCGCCCCCCCCCATCACCCCTCCAAACTACAGGTGGAGAGCCTGGGAGACCCGCAGTGTCACAGTGGATTCTGCAGCCAGGGGTACGTTTCTTCCTGCAAACTGGTAAGCGTTTCTTGTTCGCCAAGGGCAGACCTGGACAGAGCCTGACTGAGGACACCAGGGGCCAGCTGAGGGATGGGTGAATGTCTCAGTCCCCCCATATGAATGACTACTTATTCTGGTCTCCTGGGGCTGTTGTGATGATCTGCTACAAACCAGGAGCCTTAAAGTGACAAACAGAAAGGTACCGAGTCCATTGTGAAGGCCAGGAGTCTGTGATCAAGGCACCGATGAGGTGGGTTCTTTCTGAGGGCATCAGGGACCCCTCCCCTGGCTGCTGGCAATATTTGTTGGCTCAACCAGGTCTCTGCCCTGGGGTGTTTATGGTTTTTTGTGCCTGTCCCTTTACACAGCCTGCTTTATATAAAGGCACCAGCCATGTAGACTTCATTTTTACATGATTGCTGCTATAAGACCCCACTTCCAAATAGTCCTGTTCTGAAGCACTGAGGGGTAGGGCTTCAATGTCTTTTCTGGGGAACAACTTAACCCATAATACTACTCCTGTATTTCCCTGTCATACCCAGATCACAAGTGTCAGGAAGAAATCGGGGAAGGAACCAGGCTTGGTGGCGCATGCCTGTAACTGCTGCAATTTTGAGGCCAGCCTGAACTACATAGCCATAGCAAAACTGTGTCTCAGAAGGAAGGAAAGAAAGAGAGAGAGAGAGAGAGAGAGAGAGAGAGAAAGAAAAGATGGCATTGTCTTAAAAAAAAGAAATCAAGGGAGTATGATGTCTTGAAAAGCAAAAGAGGTAGTTATGAACTCTACAGCCTGATTGTCTTTTTGGAGACTTTCTGTGAAAGAACTGAACATATTTTGTGAGAAGAGGTAAGTCCCACATTCTGGCCTTGTGAGGTCAGCATTTTTAATACCATCTAGCATCAAAATACACTAATAAATACATCCTAGTGGAAAGTAGTGATGACAATATAGCATATATAACTAAAACCTCAAGTTTTATAAAACTATCCATATCCTAACTTCCTGATACACTCTGGAATTTTATTTTATTCCATTTCCTCTGGGGGTGGGTTAGTACTGGAGAGCAGACCCAGGGGTACTCTACCACTATGCTACCTCCCCAGTCCTTTTTATTTTGAGATAAGGTCTTGCTAACTTGCCTAGGCTGGCCTTGAACTGCAGTCCTCCTTCTTCAGCCTCCTGAATAGCTGGGATTACAGGCACACACACCTGAGCCCAACTTCCCTTGACTTCCCATTTTTATTTATTTTTCCAGTACCAGGGATGGAACTCAGGACCTTGTGCTTTCGAGGCAGGCACGGTGCCACTGAGCTAAATGCCCAGCCCTTGACTTCCCATTTTTATTTTTGTTTTGTTTTGTTTTTTTGGTACCGGGGATCGAACTTGGGACCTTGTGCTTGCGAGGCAGGTGCTGGAACCACTGAGCTAAATCCCCAGCCCGACTTCCCATTTTTATAAAAGGCAACTTCGCACTCTTTCTGTTGAGGCCAAGACATTCTCCAGTCTTCTGAGGACCAGCTCTGGAGCTCCCTCTCTGCCCCAGAGAAGTTCAAATTGCTTGAGTGAGCCCAGCCTGAGGCCAGAGGGTAGGAACCCTGGTCAGTGACAGTGCTGAGATGGCGTGAATTAGCCTCATTGGGAGAATGAGAATAAACTGCAAGATTGAGAGTCAAGGCAAAACTTGGTGACACCCCCCACCACCCAAGGCTCCTGTTTTCAAGGCTACATTTGTGTGGACACAGCTGGCTAAAATTTGTCTCCCCCACCCCCACCCCAAGCAATGTGAGGCTCAGATCTCAAATAGAAAGAGACCACTGCAAGACAAGGACACAGAATCTTGGCATTTCAAGGCATGTTTTCACCATCTTTAATACCTTTCCAGATTATTTACATCACGTCCAGTGGGGTTCTTTTTATACATGATGAAATGCTTCTTTGTATTGGGCATCTCAATGTGCATAGCACATACATCACATTACGGATTGGCACCTGTATAAAACTACAGACAGATTCTGAAACAGTGGTAGATACAGAAACCTCAAATCCCCATCACAGCAACATGAAAAAGTTACAATATGTCAAAGGTACAATCACATCCCTAGATGCATCCCCCACAATGTGGGATGAAATACACATGTAAATTACTAGCAACCAAGGAAGATGGAACCCTGCCCTTAAAGCAGGTTAATCCTGACAATTTGATTGGGCTCTGAGATGAGATATCTCTTAAGAATTTGATGCATCCAAGTTGATCATGGTTTCTCGGCGAATACATTAAATACACAAAGTCCACAAATTATCCCCCCTCCCCCACCGCTCAACACCATAAAGATCTTTGATGATCGCTGGAGTCTGGGGCTTGGTTTAAAAATTAGAAAAACTGTACTACATTGTAATAGCGTAAGACTATAAGCAGCAGTTTAAGATGTGTGGTCCTGACTCAGTGTCTTCTTGGAAGTGGCTTCTTTCTTATAGGCCTTGGTTAAGAATAGTATTTTAAGTCGATGATGATTTGCATTTGAACAAAGAGTTTGCAAAAGGAATGTGAAAGACAAAAAGTCCAATCAGATTTTCCAGTCTTGCTGTCTGTAGACTCCCATAAAGTTAATTCGGGAGACAGTTCAGAAACATCCTAGGAGAGTCTTAAAGTCTTGGGGAAACATTCAGAGCATTTCTGGTAGCAAGCTAAGGTCATTTTGTATAAACTCTAAAAAGTCATTCATTAAAATTAAATGTTTGCCATCACCTCGGAACTTTTTTTAAACCTCACCAACCCTGCCTCTTCCATCTTTATTCAAAGACAGGGGTTACATTTGTAAAATATATAAAGGAAAATATAAGGTTACTTGGTGACCATATAGTGCACTCGAACAGCTGTCTGCAAATATTTTCACCATGATTACCCTTACTAAAAGTAAATCACAGGGTAAAGATAGCTCAAACGTGACAAGGTTCGAATGGGACGCACCAACACTTTCTGCAGTCCTCTTTGGCTACATATGGAAAAAAAGCCCCTTGGGATGGTAAACTGCACCCGTCTGATCCTGGTGCAGAATTTGCCAGGGCTTTACAGGCTTATGAGGTAGATGTTAAATGTGAGTGGGCAAGGAACGTACGGGAAAGCAGCATGTTCCTGCAGGCGAATGCTACATCCAGAGTCCTGTACAATTACATGGACGTTTTACCTAAAAACAATAGCTAGTTCTAGCCCAAAGCACCCCATGCACAGACAGGGAAGCCTGGGTTTTTTGTTTGTTTGTTTGTTTTGGCTTTTAAAAAATATACATTCTATTCCATTATCAGAAGAATATCCTATCACAAATTATATTTCATCACTAGGTTTTGGGTTGTGGTGCAAATACCATCTTGTCCATTTCCAGCCTCTCGGTGGGATATCGGTGGGATATCAGTTCCTTTCCGTGGATTTTACGAAACCATTTTGTCTTTCCCCGATGGCTACCACAATGTGGGCTGTGGCTGATCCAAAGAAGGTAAACAGGAGTTTATAAAGTTGTCTAAGGGTCTCTCCCATCTGGTAGATGGAGGAAGATTGACTACAGCCAAGTTCAAAGGTCAGCGTGGCAGATCTAAAAACGGAGTGGCAGCAAGGACTTGGACTGCGCACTTTCTGTATAGGAGGAAGTAAACTGATATGTCCTGATTCATAGCAAGGAGGCACAAAGGGAGTGGGTACTGCAGGATGCTGGTGGAGGGAGCCTGGCTTCCAAAGACCCAGGCAGGCCTTTCCAGACAGTGATGCTGGATGCCATCAGAATTTGATGCCACCATTTTAATAGCAGCAGGCTCATGACAGCTTTTTGACAGTGAAATAAATCTGACGGTAAGATCTATCCCCTGATGCACCAGAAAAGTCAAGAGGTGCTTTTTTTGTTGTTTTTCTCCTTTTTTTCAGAAAAATATGAAACACACTCACAGAACCATAAATAATTTGATGGCAATATATACATATTTAAATAATTAATTTAAATAGCATACACCTACTCTTGCATTAAACTCTCCATCCAAAGAAAGGGCTCCTCCTGGAGGCTTCTGGAGACTGAGGCAGGCTTCCTCTGGAGGGTCACAGCCTGGGGAGAAAGTGGGTGACCTTCATGGTGGGGGACACTCGGTTCCCCTTCTTGGTCCTCCCATTCTTACTCAGGGCGATAAACATGCCAGGGTAGGTGTGGGACTCGTAGGCATTGTAGTTGTTGGGTAGAAGGATCTCCTTGAACTTGCACTCTTTGGTGAAGAAAGGCTGGAAGGGAGGGAGAGCACAGTGTGAGCCAGGCCAGGGACCTGGGGGCACGGGGTGGGGGCGGGCAGAGGGGTCTCCCTTGGGCAACTGAGTGTCAAGGAGAGGATATGGCCAGCCCAGAACAGCTGGGCCACAGCCACCTGCCAGGCACCTAGCTTCCAGAGGATTGAGGATTTCATCTTCACCATTTCTTGCCTTGCCCACTGAGACTCACCCTTGGATACAGACAGAGCTATTCATGGCCCCTTGTCAACTGGCTGGGTGGTGCCCACTTGGGGTGACAGGAGGGCAGCTAGCTCCCTTTATCAGGAGTGGACACAGGGTCCTGGACACTTCAAAGGATGCAAGTGCCTTATTGCCAGCTTTGTAACCTGGTGACCCCACCGCTGCCCCCTGGCCCTTGTGTTTGGTGGGAGGGTCGGTTCCTTATGGCCCTGCCCCTGGTCCCCAAATGGGTGTCAGGCCTAACCCGGAACCACTCACCGAGCCGTAGAGCTTGCCCTTGCTGCTCATGGCCACGAAGAATCGGCTGGCCACTCCAAAGATGCTCACGACCCCGCGTTCCACTGGAGAGAGTTCCAGAAGGCCTGGGGATGGGGCACAGGTCATTCGGGGCAGGTGACCCTCGGCGGCCCACAGTCCCTCGGCCTGTGCGCGCCTCTGGGGACCTCATTTCTCAGGCAGGTGAGGAGGTAAAGAACCTAGGGTCCCCAGCGCAGGCCCCCCACAAGGGTCTCTGTGGCCCCTCTCCTGTCCCGGCTGTGGCATCAGCGCCCAATTCCTGGCAGCAAAGTGAGCCGGCCCCCAAGCCAGGCCCCAGCCTGGGCGCGCGTCCCGGGCCCCCGCGAGTGCCGGTGGCTGCGCCCCACGCTCTGTGCCCACGGGCGAAGGCGCTGGAATTCAGCTCCCGGAGCCTGGGCTTCCGAAGGCGGGGAGACCGGGCTCGGCCGCTGGGTTGCGCAAAGCCAGTGCCAGCGGCAGCTGCAGGAACCAAGAGTGTTTTCGTCCGCGAGGCCCGGCATCATAAGGGACAGGAACCCGAGCCTGCGCGGTCTCAGAGAGCCCGCGAGCAGGTGCCCGACCCGGGTCTCCCTGAAGGCTGGGGTGAGTTGCAAGAGGGCGCCGCCCCGGCCCAGCCCTTCCCGCCCGCTGCCCACTCACTGTCGCCGGTGTCCGCGTGCACGCCGCCGATGCGGCCGTCGGGGAGCACCTGGAGGTGGAAGCCGATGCCCACGTTGCAGTACAAACGCCGCAGCCGCTTGATGCCCAGCAGGTAGTCGCCGGCGCCGCTCTGGACGGCCGCCTCCTTGGGCTGCGCGGCCACCGGCAAGCGCGCCAGCGAGCGCGCCACCAGGCTCTCCCAGCGGCGCTCCAGCTCGGCCTCCAGCGTGTCGTTGGGTGCGGTGGGCGCGGCTGCGCCCCCTCGGCCGGACCAGGGCCCCAGCAGGGCCAGCAGGAGCGCCGGGAGCAGCGCCACAGCCACCGTCCCGGGCCCCACCATCCCGGCCCGCGGGCCGTGCGTACGTCAGGGGGTCCGTGCGCCCGGGAAGCCGGGTCAAGCTGCGCTTGTGTCGGCCCAAGGGAGCGCTCGGACCGAGCCGAGGCGGAGTGCGCAGCCGAGGCGGGGGCCAAAGTGAAGGCACGCGATGGGTCCCCCAGGGGACTCTATCCCGGCTGCATGGAGCGGCGAGCAGTGGGAGGGACGCGCGGCCAGGCTGGGACTCTGCGGCGCGGTGCGCACCTCCCTGCTCGCTGGGCAGGCCAGAGGCTGAGCGGCTAAATATATAGCCGGGGGCCCCCTCCTACTCGCCGGCTCCCGCGGGGGGCCGTGCGCTTTCGCCTGGGCGCTCGGGACGCTAGCGGCTCGATCGCAGGCGCCTGCCAATCAGGGACCAGGGAGGGGAGGAGGCCTGGGACCGGCGCAGCTACTGTCACCTGGAGGGACCCCAGCCCCCACCCTTGGCCCCGCCCAGCCCACGAACCTGTTCATCCCGCCCCTCGGATCTCCTCCACTTCTGCTTTCCAAAGTTTGCCTCGAGCGCTGTGTCTTCGCCTGTCTTCCTTTCCAAAGTGGGCGCGGATGCCGGCACCCCCTCCTGCGCCGCGCCCTTAGAGACTCCTTCTGCCAGTGTGCTCATGACTGGCTTGGGGTGAGAGTGCGTCAGGGCGGGAGCCCCACTGTGGCTGGCTGGGCAAGGGACGGCCCGAGAGCTGCAGGCTGCAGGGAGACAAGGTAGGGTGGTGGAGCCCAAGCTCCCCTTTTTTTCTCCCTGGTGGAAGAAGCCCGCCTGAGCCGGGATGGGTGACATGGGTGCTCCTAAGGGAACCCCACGGCAAGGTGGGTGACAGGCCCAGGGCGGGCTGCAGCCCTGCACCCCCACGCAGCTTACCTTGTGCCCACACAGGTAGCAGGCCACAGGGCCTCGGGGTTGCCCACTCCTCCCATCTTCGAGTCCCCAGAAAGAATCAGATCCGTAGTCAGGTCCCCCACCTCGAAGGCTCCCCTCCCCCACTGCCTCCCCACCCCCTATTGTGCCCATTACTGGCCTGATAGGGATGGGCTGCCCTCTAGGTGCTGGCTCACCTACTCGTGAACACCGCTGTTCTTTGTGGTACCTGAGGGGCCTTGTGTGCCACAGTCCAGCCACAGCTGCAAGGCCTTGGAACCTACTCTGACCTTTACTGCCACCAGCACCTGTGACCGGAGACATCCCCGGGCCACTTCAGCCCCTGCCACCTCTTGCCTTCTGGTCTGTCTGAATCCTACTGGGCCTCATTCAAACCACCCAGGGGAGCCTGGGAGGCTGGAGGAGTGAGGCCCAGAAAGGGGACCCTCAGGGGTCCTCAGTGGCCTGAGGAGGACTAGGTCCCTCACGGAGGCTCTGTGAATCAGCTCACAGCTGCAAGATGCAACTGGCAGCCCTGGGGCCCCCAGGCCTCCAGCAGGGCCCACGGATCTGGTACCCAGAAGGCCACCCTGGTCAGGGGACTGTCCCTGCCCTATCCCTTCTTGTCTCTGGTCCCCAAGTCCCCACCGATGAAATGACATGGAAGATGGACAGCCTTCCTTCAGCCCAGGTGCACCCAGCATCTCTGGGCAGGTGGAGCCCCGGCCTGGAGCCCGGGCCTGGAGCACACGGCAGGCTGTCCCAGCTGGGGCCCTCTGATGTTTGACCAGCTCCTGCTGAGGTGAGGCTCTCCCTTCCCAGGGCTCTCACAGCAGGCTCAATTTGAGGTTCCCTTCCCTTCCTGCCCCTGGAATTCAGCAAAGGACCCTGTGGTGGCTGCATCCCCTCTGCACTGCTGGCCCAGCTCACCCTAGAGGTGCTTTTGGCCTGCCCCAGAGATGCAAATGGAGTCAGACTGATCCAGGGTCTGGCTCCCACCCTGGCACTATGGTCACTGAGCTCACCTGTACCCACTGCGGGCCTGACCCCTCCATTTCCCAGGGGCCAGTGGAAGCCCCTATGCTCCAACCATACTGGTCTCTCTCTCCCCAGTCTTACCTCTGGGAGACTGTCCCCTGCATCTGCCCCACACTACTTTTCCTAGTCAGATCTGTTCTCAAATAGGAGCCTTTCAGGGATCCCTGGTGTGTCCCCCAGTCCCTCTGCTCACAGCTTCTTCATACCCTTTGAACATCTTCTTCAGCTAGGTACAGTGGTGCACAAGTCCAATCCCAGCTACGTGGGAGGCTGAGGCAGGAGGATTACAAGTTAAGAGGCCAGCCTGGGCAACTAGGAGAGATGGTCTCAAAATGAAAGGTGGGCTGGAGATGTAGCTCAGTGGTGGAGCACTTGTCTAGTACACATAAGGCCCAGTCTCTATCCCCAGTATCCTAAAAAAATGAACAAAAACAAAATAAAATAGACTCATCTTCATTTATCACTGTTACCCCTTGGAGCAATCACAGACAGGTTTGTGTCATTCCCAGCTTTACTTGCAGTGCCTGGTGCACAGTGAATGCTCAATAGGTATTTGTGAGTAAATGCTGCTATGTGAGTGTGGCTTGAAGCCCCCTCCCCCGGCAAAATCTCCATGCCACCCCACCCTGAGCAGCGCTTAGCCCCCATATGCCTGAGACAAACAGGAGAACAGTCGGATGATGTGGAAATGGGACCCCTGCCCTTTCTGCCACACTGCACCCCAGGAGCCTGGCTGCCCGTAAACAGGGGCTCAGCAAAGGGCCAAATAGAGGCTCTGGGCCCTGCAGGCACCTGGTTTGGGTCCAAATTCAGGCTCTAGGCACTTTCACTTCTAGTCAGTCTGTTTCTCCATCTGTAAAATGGGTCCAAGAGTGGCCATTAGCGACGGTAATCAACTGTAGGAAGAGGGTGAGGTGAGTCTGGCCTGGCTCAGGTAGGGCCTGGCTGACTGCAAATGCTCAGCCTTTGTGAAATAAACAAAGGCACTGGGCATGGTGGCACACACCTGTATTCCCAGCATTCTGGGGGCTGAGGCAGGAGGATCATTGAGTTCAAGGCCAGCCTGGGCTACATAGTGAGATCCTTGACCCCCCAGGAAAGAAAAGAAATAAACAAAGCCATGTTCTAATCTTGTGGGAGGCTTCCCCAATAAATCAGCTGCCAGTGAGCTGAAGCCTGCAGCCATGGCCACAGCCCTCAAACCCTCCTGATAGTGACCTTTCCTGACCTACATCCCCCAAAATCCCAATGTCACTGTCTTCCCCTAAGAATCACTTCGAAAAGAGGGAGGGCACCTCTGGGACCAGCCAGCTCAGCTGTTAAGTGCTTCATAGTAATAAGAATGAAAAGGCGTGCATGAAAATCGGATCCCAGTCCTCAGGGCTGAAAACCCAGCCCAGCCCCAGGCCAGGGCCACTGTGGACTTTGTAAATTGCTCCACTGTTTGCTCAAGTCTTTCCCTTTCTTGGTCTCAGCGAGGCCCTCACAACACTGTTATCATGCAAAAGTGCAAGAGAAAGCCAGGCCAGGGGATAGGGCCCTGGCACCCCCCAAAAAGTCACATTTTTTCCTTTAGGACCTCCACAGGAAGAAGGGGAGATTTGGATAATTGTTTAGCCTTCTTTTTTTTTTTTTTTACAATAATCGTGATAAAATATATAAATATAACATAGAATAGACCACTCAGCCTTTTTAATTTTGTTTTTGCAGTGCTAGGAACCCAACTCAGGGCCTCGTGCATGCTGGGCAAGAGTTCAACTACTGAGCTACACCCCGACCCCTTAACCAAAATTTAAAAACATTTTCTTACAGCAGTTTGCATTCACAGAAAAACTGAGAAGGCACAGAAAGTTCCCACTCGGCCCTGCCGTCCACACGCACTTGGGCAGCTGTGCCCACTGTCCACCCCCAGCACATCCTCCTCTCCCCAGACGAAGCTCTGTCCCTGTGAGACTCCCAGCCCTCCCCGCCCCTGGCTCCCCATGCCACTTCCGGTGTCTGTGGATGGGATCCTGCAGTGCGTGTCCTTTCCTGCCTGGGTGATCACACCAAGCATGATGTTTGAAAGGTCCACCCCGTCTGGATTTCCTCCTTCTTCAAGGTGGAGTCACATCCACTCTTGCTCATCTGTCGATGGGCCCTTGGTGGCCTCCACTCTGTGCTGCTGTGAATGATGCTGCTAAGAACATGTGTGTGCCTGTATCTATTCCAGAGCCTGCCTTTTGTTCTTTGGGGGACATACCCAGAAGCAGAATTGCTGGATTATGTGATAATTCTATGTGTAATTATTTTAGCAATTATCATAACTGTCTTGGACAGTTGGGGTTTATTTTGTAGTACTGCGGTTCGAACCCGGGGCCTTCACACTGAGCTACATCCCCAGCCTTTTTTATTTTTTATTATAAGACAGGGTCTCACTAAGTTGCTATGCTGCCCAGACTAGACTCAAACCTTGGCTCTTCCTGCCTCAGCCTCCCAGAGTGCAGGGATTACAGGTATGTGCCACTATGTCCTTTTTTTTTTTTTAAGTCACCTTGATCATGGAACTTCTAGAAGCTGGGGCAGCAGGTCTTGCCCTGGCTCACAGAGGTGCACTTGCCCAGAGGTGGGCTTGGCAGTCAGTCAGTTCCCCTTCTCTTGTTATTCTTCAGTTCATTTCTCTTTTGTCCTGGGCCAGGTCTGGTGACAGTCTCAGGGTGGGCTTGGATGACTACAAATCAATGATACAATGGCCCAGGCATGCAGCTCTTTGCACACATTAGATACCTCAATGCTTGGAGAACGGGGAAGAAACCATGCCTCAGCTTCCCTGTGTGTAAAATGAAGACTTCAAACTTCAACTGGGAGGGGTCCCGGAGAGTTAAATGAGATGATACATGTTCAGCCCTGAGTGCCGTCAGAAACAGTAGGCAGAGCACTGTGCAGCCCTTACTGTCTTGGAAGCCCTGCTCCCCTGGGGTGGGAGCCAGGCGCCCACAGTGTCCCCACCCTGTGCTCACCGGCCGCCGCAAGATTGTGGCAGGTTGCGCAGCCTCAGCACCTAGTGTCTAGTTTCTTGTGGTTGTGGAGGGCATTAAAAGAATTAGACGTGTGAAGTGCCGGGAGTCTTATCTGTGGGCTGAGAGCCGTGCTGATCTGCAGTCCCACTCCAGATAAAAGTAGGGCTCAGCAGGGCGTGTTGGTGCATACACCTGTCATCCTAGCGCTCTGGGAGGCTGAGGCCGGAGGATTGCAAGCTCAGCTCCCCCCCTACACACAAAAGTAAATAAGAAGGGCTGGGGATGAAGCTCAGTTCGAAGGCCCTGGGTTCAATCCTTCGGGCAAAAAAAAAAAAAAGTCTTGGCCTCTGTCACCTTCAGTGGCGATGCCTGGGGCCCGCATAAGGTGCAGTGCGGGCTGGCTTTGCAAAGCTCATCCCTTTTCTCCTGGCCCAGCCCTGTAAGGTGGGGCCACTTCTCGTCACCATTTTACAGAAGTATT